CACACACACACACACACACACACACACACACACACACACACACACACACACCAGCGTAAGCTTTGTCTAGTTTCTCCAGTAACGCTTTCGGGACTACACGCGAGGAGTCCTCGGGAAAAACGAGCAGACTCACACAATGGAAAACCGCGAGAAAATCCATTTTATAGGCTAAAAGACTCGTACCTTCATTTCTGTTGTTCTGCTGGGTTGATTTTTCTTTTTCATTTCATTTCCCATAAAAATAAAATGTAACCCCCCCAGTTTAACTAAAATAAATGTATGAGTGTACAAACTACATTTGATTATGTTATTACAATTTCCGTGTTGTGAACTTGTTCCCCCCCCCACCCCATATCTCCCCCATGGACTCCTTCGTAGCTCAAGTATGCAAGGGGGCACTCGTGGCTTAGAGGTTAAGGTGTTAGCCTCTCGTTCATTAGGTCACGGGTTCGAATCCGGATTGCAACGGACATTTTTTTTTCTAAAATGTTCTCATTTCACATCCCTTCAGCTCTTTAAACGCATGAACTGAGTGCATTCCTGTTCTTCTCCGCTCCCTTTTGTTTCCAGTCTGACCCATTTCCATGATCGGCATCAAAATTGGAGAGAAACGAATGTGACATATTTTTGTTTCCGCTCACTTTCCGTTCGTGAACATCCGGTGTTGTCCTTTACACAGTAGATCTGCATCGTATTGAGTTTTCTACCCCTGTGTTGAGCAATAATGGAGGCTTTTCAATTATTCTTATTATTTTGGATGAAAAGAAGACGCTGCGTCCAAAAAAGCGGTACTGGACACAGCATTTTACTACGAAGAGATGATTTTGGAGAGTATCATCATCTTCTGAATGAAGTTTTAAAAGGGATGAGGAGAAATGGGTTTCCTACATTCGGATACGACCTGAAACTTTTCAAACCCTTCTTCATCTCATTAGACCTCATAATGATATTGAGAAAAGAAGCGGGCGGTTGGCGGGTGCTCTGGTGTGGTTTGCTCCTTCTTTCCTATCAAATATCTATCGTCCTTATCTTCCCTTCTTCTTTTTTATGTTTGTTACTCTCTTGTAACACTTCTAATCTTCTGGCGCTCATATGACCTTATGCAGTTGTGAGCGCCATAAAACCTCTACTTAAACTAAACTAAACTATGAGAAAAGAACCAAAACAAATTCGCAAGCCGTTATCTTCAAGAGAAAGACTTATTATCACTCCACAGTTAGTTATACTTTGATTATAGATGAAAATAATACAGAGTGTGAATACATGGTGAGGGAGAACTAGGAGAAGTTTTAGTTGCGAGATAAAACGTTCGCAATCAGCTCAGCAACTGGGATCAGCAGGAAAGGGAGAGGAAAGTGAGAGGGGTGCACTCAGTTTCCGGTGATGAGATATGAGACACTATCCATGATTCGGCAACTGGGAGGAAAGGTCAAGCGGGGAGCAACAGGGAACGGAGACGAAAACGAATGCACTCAGTTTATATACACTAACACTGTTCGGTCGTCTACTTTCGTCTCCACTTTCTGCCCCAACACCTCACATCATTTGCCCCCTCCTCTGACCTCCTGATTCTTTCTGCAGCCTTTCTACTGCTACTCCTTGGCTACTCCTTACTGCTGTCGTTCAGCCACACGCCTGATCTTCTGGTAGGAAAGATCTACACCTAGCCTTTTTGGACAAGCGCGAAAAATCTGGGAGGTTCCGTGTGTAAGTTGTGCTCGTTAAAGACCCCTTGTTTGCCCAAAATCGATATGATTAAGCTTCGGCCGTCACCCGGGCAAAATTCAAAATTTCCTTCCCACTGAAAATGAGCGCCGTAAAACAACCCCCCAACCCCCAGAAAAAAGCAGGTTTGAAAGAATAAGACCTGAGGAACACAAGAGAGATATCTTTATGGATTTCCCTTTTATTGATGACGTAAGAGAAAGTTCCGAAGTGAAATATCATGTATACTAACTACGATAAAGACATTACAACTTAAAGTAATTTATAGTTCTAATTCAAAATATGAATTGAAGGACATTGTATTCCCAAGGAAAGTTGATATAATCAGCTGCCTTTTTTTATAAACATTCTTCCCTCCCCTTAGATGGGTTACATTTCATTAGAAGGTCAAATACTCCCCTTTAGGTGAGTAGTATTTACAAGATGTTCTCAAACCATTGTCCACGTTTCTCCTGTGAGTGAGAGAAATCACAACTAGTACTCATCTTGTCCCTCTCCTTCTTCCTCTACTGAGTCCAGTCCAACTTCTTCGTAGTCTTTCTCCAGAGCTGCCAGATCTTCGCGGGCTTCTGAGAACTCACCTTCCTCCATTCCTTCTCCAACATACCTGGGGAGTACGAGATTTAAATGCAAAGATCACACCCTCTCTCAAGAAATATAATGCACCCCATACACACAATGTACTCAATAAACACAATACTCATAACAAGCTCTATTCACACCTTACACACAGCACAGACAATTATACACTCAATATAATGACGATACACACTAAATGCAAAACACACACTCCATATTACCTACAATACCCCGAATACACTCAATATCTACCGGTGTCATGTGGTGAAGTGGTAAGGTGCTTCGCCATCTTGCGCAGAAGATGAGAGTTAAGATTTTCGTGTGGGGAGAAATTCTATCGTGTATCTCTGTTTGTCTGCAAGAACGTTGTTATATATTTCTTTCAGCCTCGGTTGGCTCTGACAGTCAAGGCCGAAACAACCCGCCCCTTGAATGGTCTAACTTGTGTCGATGGGGTGTACAAAATCAAGACAAAAACCACAATTCAAAACAATATACCCCATTAATCCCGTCCACATGTACATAGAGCATATAAAACAATCAGTTCAAATGTCCTAATCTGCTTGCCATAAAATAACCACATCAGGTTTATTTATGTAAAGTACCAATGGCTTTGAGAAAATAGAATGCTTTGAGAAAACTCAACAAGAGCGTCTTTGACAATGAAACATTAATGAATCGTGTTGACACTTTACTTATATTCCTGCATGCAGTAAACCAGGAACACACAGGTATCAGATTCGGGTCACGGGAGTTGCAGTAGTTGCTCAAGGCTTGCTTGTCTAGTGTACAAAAGTTTTACGACATGTACTTTGCAAAATTTAGTACTCGGCAGTGGATAAAGGCTATAATTATCATGTAATATCTAACAGAACGTTGTCGCCAACCATTTCTAGGCACCTGCGCCTAGACATAAACAAGAATAATATAGAGGCTTTGGCAGAACTCACCAGTGGACAAAGGCTCTCTTGGCGTACAGCAGGTCAAACTTGTGGTCCAGTCTGGCCCAGGCTTCTGCTATGGCTGTGGTATTGGCAATCATGCAGACTGACCTCTGAACCTTCGCGAGGTCACCTCCTGGCACCACGGTGGCGGGCTGGTAGTTAATACCTACTTTGAAGCCAGTTGGACACCAGTCCACAAACTGAATGGTTCTCTTTGTCTTGAGCGTGGCGATAGCGGCATTGACGTCTTTGGGTACTACGTCACCGCGGTACAACATGCAGCAGGCCATGTACTTGCCGTGACGGGGGTCACACTTGACCAGCTGGTTGGCCGGCTCGAAGCACGAGCTGGTTATCTCTGCACAGGTCAGTTGCTCGTGGTAGGCTTTCTCTGCCGAGATGACGGGCGCCATGGTCACCAAGGGGAAGTGGATCCGAGGGTAAGGGACCAGGTTGGTCTGGAACTCTTGCAGATCCACGTTAATGGCGCCGTCAAAGCGCAGAGAGGCAGTGATGGAAGAGACGACCTGGGCCAATAGCCGGTTTAAGTTGGTGTACGTGGGCCGCTCAATGTCAAGGTTACGGCGGCACACGTCATAGATGGCCTCATTGTCCACGATAAATGCGCAGTCCGAGTGCTCTAGCGTTGTGTGCGTCACTAGAAGCGAGTTATATGGCTCTACTATGGCCGTGCAGATCTGGGGGGACGGGTAAATCGCGCACTCAATTTTCGTTTTCCTCCCGTAATCTATAGACAGTCTTTCCATGAGCAGGGATGTGAACCCGGAGCCTGTGCCGCCACCGAAGCTGTGGAAGACCAAGAATCCTTGGAGGCCAGTACAGATGTCGGCCAGTTTCCGGAGCCGATCTAGGACCAGGTCAATAATCTCTTTGCCCACAGTGTAGTGACCTCGGGCGTAGTTGTTGGCTGCGTCCTCTTTGCCTAAATTCAGACAACACAAAGTAATAATATATACCACTAATAAAATATAACTTAATAACGCTTTTCCACTAAAAAGGTGCTCAATGCGCTTTACAATAAAATACACAGAACACGAGTAACGTCTTATTTCAAGAAGATAAAACAAAACAATTTCGCAAAGAGACGAAACAATACAATTTTAACTCTTTGCATGAGGAGAGAAGAACACATAATTCTTTGCGTCTCTTTGCACAGAAGGAGACAGAACGACGTTAATGCATCACCGTGTATACTGGCACCCCCGGAGACGATGAGACTAGGATATAATAGGTTGACATCTTCCTGCCGATGAATCCAAGATCTAAAACCTACAGAAGTTTAAAACCTTATTAAAGAAATCTCACGTATAGTATAACTGAAATAATAGAAACATCGACACAAACAAAAAGCACCCCCAATCCCCCCCCCCCAACAACAACAACAACAAAAACTAACAAACAAAACTAACAAAAACAACAACAGCAACGACAAAAAACCCCAAACAAACAAAAACACAACAACAAAACAACCACACACACACAAAAAAGAAAATGAATAAACAAACAAAAAACGAACAAACAGAAATATTCACGAATTCAACAATTTACTGTTGACAAACAGGTCTGTTTTCATGGAATAATTAATATATACCCAGATTGATTTCCTGTGTGACAAATAATTTACTTGTCATACAGTTTGACATAAGGTACAGAAAGTACGATGAAATGAAAACAATTTCTCCACATCTGACTCTATCTTGATGATACATGTTCCACAAAGATATTTCATCATAGATTTAAAGGGCGCAATCAGACTAGTGATCCGCGTTCGTGCGTGTGTTAAATGAACACTAGTTGTTGACTAGTGACATCGTTTTTATACCACACCACTTGTCCACTTATGCGAATGCCTTCCACGATATATGGGCGCCAGAACGAAAGTTCTTGTTTTGCTGTGGTTGAAATGGGAAAGCAGCCGTGAGAAAATAAGAATGCATTAGATGCATCCTATATGTGTTCAGAGGTCTGTGTAGGGCTAGTTTAATAATTTTAGTGCCACGAATTTAACAAGATGAAAAAATGTTTCATAATATTATGTCGACATAAAACCAGATAGATCTAGATCTGGATTTAGATCTACATGATTTGACAATTAGCTGCTGCTGATGTTTGGACGGCACATACAAAGAAAGAAAGAAAGAAAGAGGGAGAGAGAGGGAGAGAGAGAGAGAGAGAGAGAGAGAGAGAGAGAGAGAGAGAGACAGAGAGAGACAGAGAGAGAGACAGAGAGAGAGAGAGAAAGAGAGAGAGACAGAGAGAGAGAGAGAGAGAGAGAGAGAGAGAGAGAGAGAGAGAGAGAGAGAGAGAGAGGAGAGATATAAGATAGAGATAGATAGAATGAAGAGAGAGAGAGAGAGAGAGAGAGAGAGAGAGAAAGTGAGAGAGAGAGAGGGAGAGAGAGAGAGAGAGAGAGCTCTTTCTGTCTTCTGGCACTGTGGCGTCACAAACGGTCAGCGATGCCGACAGGACGCAGGAAATCAACACATACTCGGGGGTCCTGGAAAAGTTCTGAGCGTGGGTCAATGAAATGTCCCAGCAGACGTGTGAGAGAGTTACCTGAGATGAGCTGCTCGGGGTGAAAGAGTTGTCGATATGTCCCTGTCCTCACTTCGTCCACCACTGTGGGCTCCAGATCCACAAAGACCGCTCGAGGCACGTGCTTGCCGGCGCCAGTCTCGCTGAAGAAGGTGTTGAAGGAGTCGTCGCCCCCGCCGATCGTCTTGTCCGACGGCATTTGTCCGTCCGGCTGGATGCCATGTTCCAGGCAGTAGAGCTCCCAGCACGCGTTCCCCACTTGGATCCCGCACTGGCCCACGTGGATAGACACACATTCGCGCATGTTGAGACTGCTGAATAGATCTAGATTCTAGATCTATATCTAGGTAGTAAAGGCTCTCATAAGAAACCCCCTTTGGAAACCTTAACCTAACCTGAGCCAAGAAAACTAAACAATATCAGCTAAACCTACTACAAAGATTTCACTTCGCCCAAGTTTCCTCGAGAGATGTACAACCCAAACCTTACCCTAACTAGTGGGGGAACCTAACCCTAACCTACTCTCCTAGACTTAGTGACGAGGTGAGAGACTTGGGGCTGCCCCTACAACTACGAGGCAAAAGTCCGCAATGATGTGCGCAGAATGAGCTTAGAGATTATTCTTGTATATTTAAAACATTTTTTTCATAATGAAGATAGCTGGAACTAAAAAGGAAACTGTTTTCTCGTTTCATTCTAGCTTTTTTTCTAATGTCCTCTTAATTGTATCCCCCAATTTGCAATCTAGATAAAATAGTTTGCAATATCACGCATTCTTCACTTTCAATTTTAATGCCGTCATCAGTCGGGTTGTCTTCTCGTAAAGTCAAAGATAGTGAATAACAAGATGGGCCACTCAGCCAAAAAAGTGTCCGCAGGAAGTATGCTCTTTGCTTCAGATGGCGCTGCAGTCTGTTTTGAAGCTCTCTTTCGTTTTTCCAGAAGAAGAATAGGAATAACACCTCCTTGCGTGCGCAGATCGACTGCTGTTCATCAGCAGTTCGGGTACGTTCAGTGCGGAGTTTTAGGGTTTTTTATTTTAATGACCTCTCGCCTTTCATTCTAAAGTCAAATTAAACGAAGAAAACCATCACCCTTTTCTCCGGAAGAGTTTTTTTTTGTCAGCGTAACCATTTAAAAAAAGTGTTCTTCCGTAATTTATCCCAAAACTTGCTAGTTTCACTTTGATTTTTTAACAAGTAGGGTAACTCTGTTCGCAAAAGAGCGCTTTTGTGAAGAGGGCGCCACCAAATTTTGAGGACACTTTTTTAATTGGCTCAAAGAGAGAAGTGGCCCATCTTGTTATGTACTATCATTGGTAAAGTGTACATGAAATGAAAATGAACACGCTGGCAGGTGCTGAAATGGTGTGTAATTTTCTCTACAGCTGACTTGACAATGCGGAAAACCCGAAGCACTCATTTTGCTAACAAAGACTGCGCCTCACCGGAACAACAGTGTTGGTGTCAAACAGGGACATGAACTCCCGGCCGATCTAGCAGACGGCACAGAGAGGTCATCGTTTGGCGAATAGTACATAGATATCTTGTATATATATAATATTCATTTTTGAAGGTTTGTTTTTAATGCTTAACAGACTTTTGTCACTTTATTTTTTATAGTGATTCGTACAAAAAATCTTCACTGGGAGTTGAACTTCAAAAGTGATGTGAGCTCTCGTTTCGATGTAGATCTAAGTCCAGGTATGTCTGTCCACACGGCAATGGTATGTTTGATGTCAGTAGTCGTGTCGACATGCATGAGCAGACAACTGAAAAGAACATCTCTCTTTCCCAACGTACTTGACACTCGGCCTCACTGGCCTATCGCTGCATCTTGGAGAAAAGGGGCAGACAGCCTGGAGGTCAAGGAGGTCAAGAAGGTCAAGGAGGTCAAGGAGGTCAAGGAGGTCAAAGAGGCCAAGTATGTCAAAGGGGTGATGGGGGGCACGGAGGTCAGGGATTTGAAGGGGGTCAGTCATGTCATAGACGGCAGCAAAAAGTCTGTATCAAAAGAAAAGGCAAGCAGATTAGGACATTTAATTTGTAGCCCAATGCTATATTTGTACGAGTCCAAATCCAAGAAAAAGCTTCCCAAATTTGTGCCAAGTCCAGAAGAAACTGCCATATCTATAGCGTCTAGTCGCTCCTCACGCCAGACAAACAAATATGTCGAAGACCTGGTCTCTCAGGAGATGTACCTCAGCCGTGCTCACAAACACTTGTCTTCACAGCCAAGTGTTACGGGTGACCACTTAGGTTCTCTGGCCCGTCAAACCGACATCCATCACCCCGACACACGTCACTCCGACTCCCGTCAGCCCGACATCCCTCACATCGACACACGTCACCCCGACTCCCGTCACCCCGACACCACTCATCCCGACACCTGTCACCCAGACACCCAACATCCCAACACCCCTCTCTCCGACATCTGTCACCCTGACACTCGTCACTCCGACACCCGTTACCCCGACATCCGTCTTCCCGACGTCCGTCACCCTGCCGACACCCGTTACCCCGACACCCGTCTTCCCGACACCCGTCACCCCACCGACACCCGTTACCCCGACACCCGTCTTCCTGACACCCGTCACCCAACCGACACCCGTTACCCCGACACCCGTCTTCCCGACACCCGTCTTCCCGACACCCGTCACCCCACCGACACCCGTTACCCCGACTCCCGTCTTCCCGACACCCGTCAATCTTCAAATAGCAACCGCTCAAGGTCCATGCGTCGACGATTCCTGGGTCAGTCTGGCAGCGCTATGGCCAAGGTGAAGAATCTGATGTCCGGTGGCTGGTCACTGTCACGTACTGAGGCAAAAGAGCTGTTTGAGGTTTATTACAAGTGTCAGGAGGCCAAGGTGACGTCATTACAAAAGGAGGAGTTTCCCATCAAAGCTGTGCTGGCCCTAGAGGGAGAGAAGGTGGTGCTCACCTGCCACGTGTGGTGAGTGCTTTATGAATTACGTGTGGTGAGTGCTTTATGTGTCTCGTCTGGTGAGTGCTTTATGTATTGCGTGTGGTGGGTGCTTTATGTATCGCGTATGGTGAGTGCTTTATGAATCGCGTGTGGTGGGTGCTTTATGTGTCTCATCTGGTGAGTGCTTTATGTGTCTCGTGTGGTGAGTGCTTTATGTATCGCGTGTGGTGGGTGCTTTATGTGTCTCGTGTGGTGTGTTCTTTATGTATCTCCTTTGGTGAGTGCTTTATGTGTCACCTTTGGTGAGTGCTTTTTATTATTAAGTCACTAGTAATAAGTTCTGTATTCATGTTTCGAGAATTCTATTCTATGTTCACATTCGATGAGTTTCGTGCTCACCTGTAGTGATTTCTTTGTGCAGTTGTAATTACTCATTGAAACCCGTGGTTACAACTTGGCAATTTCACTCGAAGGATAAATCCTGATCTAACACAATAACTCATGTGATAAATTCTTAATGTATGATACAAAAAAGACAAATATTTTGCTAAAAAAACCAACCTTGGTAGATCTATACGTTTATCGCTCCTATCAACGCTATTAGGTTATTTAAGAGGCGGAGCCTCCGAGTTCAACGTCCATCTCCGAAAGAGCAGAACCAAATAGGAAATTCGTTTGAAGTGCCTTTCCCAAGGACACATCGTCGGACCGAGCACCCCATCGACACAATTCAGGTTATTTAAGAGGTGGACTGTTTGTCCTGATTGTCAGGGTCAAACGGGACTGAAACAGGAACATCGTCGTAGCAGACATACGACAGGAGTGCTCAATTAAAAATTCTCCCCACACGGAAATCGAACCCTAGTCCTGTGCGTGCGACGGTGAAGCGACCAACCGCTCCTCCACAGACACAGATCTGTAAATTTGACCCAAGAAAACCCTATTGATTGCTTTTTGGAAACACACAGAACGCATTTTCAACTGGACATGGCCTTTGAAGTTAAAGGTTATTGAACTCAAAGATCAAAGGGGGTCAAATGAATATGTAATGTGAACATGTTTCATGATGCAATTTCGTCAAAATACGCCAACTATAAGTACTCCTGTACAAAGCTTCTGTATATCGATGGCTTCTGGAATAAAAGACGTACCCAAAAAAGAATTCCTCTTAGTGGCTCTAACCAACTGTTTTGTCTGGTTGGGCGTATTATATACACTTTTAAAACCTAAAAGTTCTGAATCCGTCTTTTTATTCGTGGGATCTGCTTAAGTCCTGAATAACTTTCATGAAAACTAAATGGCCTTGTGTGACCCCACAATTTCCAGTCGCAGTCGTCCTTCACCTCTTCTCCCATGCTACTCCCCCCCTCCCCCACCTTATTTTCTTTCCAGCTACCGGCCGGACGAGGACTCAGCGTCCCAAGCGGCACACTGGCAATTATTACGTCACGAGGACTCCGGCCTAACTCACGTGACCTCAGGAAAACGCGTCCATGTCAAGCGGGACAACTCATTGGTCATCCGAAGTGTAGAGGTCAAGGATGCCGGTAAACAGGACAGAAACATTGGGGGATGATGTGCTGCACCGATGTAGATATTATATAATATATAAATATCCAATTGAGTTGAGTGAGATACGAATAGAGGGCTTAAACAGACTTTTACCGATCTATGTATGTTAGTCTCCCCTTTACTCTTTTTCTTCTGTCTATCTGTCTGCTTGTATCCGTCTTTCTTGATCCACTCCTCTCTCTCTCTCTCTCTCTCTCTCTCTCTCTCTCTCTCTCTCTCTCTCTCTCCCTCTCCCTCTCTCTCTCTCTCTCTCTCTCTCTCTCTCTCTCTCTCTCTCTCTCTCCCTTTTTTCTTCTTCTCTCTTTCTCTCCATTTCACTCTGACTGTGTGTCTGTCTGCATGTCTCTCTCTCTCTCTCTCTCTCTCTCTCTCTCTCTCTCTCTCTCTCTCTCTCTCTGTGTATGTGTGTATGTGTGTGTGTATGCGTGGTGCGTCTATCTGTCTTTCTTTCTCTCTCTCTTTCTCTCTCTCGCCCCCCCCCCCTCTCTCTCTCTCTCTCTCTCTCTCTCTCTCTCTCTCTCTTTAAAAGCACCAATGTCTTGCCCCTGAAATCCTTGCTTTGTGTATAGGGACAAAATCCAATATAAGTCATTACAATCAGTAACACGCTCACAATGAACACTGCCATCCAGTACTTTCCAAACACTTTAGACAATTTCCCCCCTCAACCCCCCCCCCCCCAACCTCCCCAACGCGTACCGAGTACATTTCTTAAACCACAGGCTGGGTGGCAGGCAAAGGGATGGAAGATAGGTATAACCTAGACGGTCAGAGAACGTCTAAGAACGTATAGGGTATAACCCATCATAGACTTACCAAAATCACACTCCAACCACCCCCCTCTCCCTTCGGCTATCCTCGCCCCCTCTCTACCCCATATACCATTTTTGCCATCTCTCTCGCCTCATTCTATCCCCTGAATGTTACGCTTCATTTGTTCATATGTCGCAACCTCAGAATTACAATGTTCTATCTGCTCAGTACCTTGATGTAGTATGGAGAAATTTGACGTCAAAGATTTTGAGTTTCACATC